AACACTGGCCTTCTCGCTGCTAATCGTCTGGAGGTCAATCAGCACTCACTGATCAATGAGGGGATGAGTGGGCCCTGAGAGAAGAGCTTGACTTGTTGTCGTCCAGTCTGAACTGGCTCCTAATTGACCCTCCAGCTTGTCAGAGGCTGTAAATCACATGGGAGGAGATAGCCCACCTTTCTCCCATGAAGCTGCTGGCGGATTTGAACCTCCAGAGAAGTGCAGCCTCTGAGTGAGCAGCACAGCCTCCTACAGATTGAGCCACCTGTGTGCTCTGAGAGATGGCAGGAGACCGAGCTGGAGGAAATGTGTGTCCCCAGGTTGGCAGCCCTTTCTCTGGTCACTGGAGGTAGACCCTACAAGCAGGCCTTGTTGGGTCCATGCTGAGGAGATGAGATGCACTCCTTCATTCTGCCTCTAGAATTCCTCTCAGTTTGGACATTTGCCAGTACTGGACCATGTCCACTATCAGTTCTTCCTTATCCTGGGGACTTGACAGAATCCTCCACCTTTAACAGCGAGCGTCAGTGCAAGGTGGCGTCAGGTGTGCATGTGTAAAGGGTTTCTGACCGCTCCTCCAGGTCCCCTCCAACACCACAGGATAATGGGGACCAAGGAGGGGCCTCGGGGTCCCTGGACCTCACCACAGCTGGGCTCAAATGACACGGGGACTCAGGCTAGCCTGGGCACCCAGATCCCCACTACTCAAAGTGTGGGTCTTGAATCTGGGTGTGAACTGCTTGTTCCTGATAATATTGATTAGAAAATGAGTGTTTTGAGATGTTCATTTTCATGACTATTGAGTACAATCATTAAGTGGTAGGGGAGGGGGAACTGTATGTATATTTAAAGGGAGCTCTGGTGGTCTAGTGGCAAGAAGCTGCACTGCAATCCCGAAAGCACATGGTTCAAGGCCACCACCAGCTGCTCCACAGAAGAAGGATTAGCAATCTCCTCCTCTGTGACTAACCGCCTCTGAAAACCCACCAGAGGGTCAGCTATGGGTCGGTTCCGACTCAACAGTAAACAACACCACAACAACCACCACCTCCTAGCAAGTCAGTGTCTGATTTTTTTCCAAAGTGTTTGGTCTGTAACAAATGGAGGGGGAAACTGGTCTTTCTTCTTGACCAGGTGAGAGAAGTGCTCTGAGCACCAGGGACCTGCCCTCCTGTCTCTGCTGTGCTCCAAGCTCCACCTTGTTCCCTTAACTGCAGACTGAGCGCTGGAGAGAGCAGCCCCGGCTGGCTCCCCGTTCAGCTGTGGGTGGATAAATACGCACAGCCTGGGGCAACCAGAGGCCACACACCCATCCCAGAAACTTCACCGTCAGGTGAGACGGTCATAAAAGCTGACCTTGGAACAACTCCTGTCAGACCCAAATGCCTATCAGCAAGTCTACACAGAAGAGCTTTATTCACATGAGAGTCCAGCTCTGTCCCCAGTCAGCTTGCCCGAAAGGCCAAGGCTGGGCCATCGCATTCAGAGCAAGCAGCCCATGTCCTTGTCCCATCCTGTGACAGTCTCACAGCCTCTAGCTTCTTCAGTGCCCACAGCTGACACCACCCTTCCAGCCAGCTCCACAGCCAGCTATAACCCCTCCAGGAAGCATGCGAATTCAAGCACATTGCGCATGCGCATTAATCAATCCTTTGTTATCCAAAATGATTACTTTTTAATGACCAAATGCAAAGCAGCCACCTTTTCTGTGTAGATAAAGTTGATGTCTTTAGACACACAACATACAATTAATGCTTAAGTATTTTAAAGCAAGTAGTGCAATTATTAAAAAGCTCCAACTGAAGGGTCAATGGCGAGAACCCGCCAGCAGCCCCACAGGAGAAAAGGCCAGGTAATCTGCTCGAATTAAGACTTACTTCCTCAGAAATCCTATGGGGAAGCTGTACTTTGTCCCAAGGTGGCAATGTGTCAGAATCAACTCAATGGCACACGTTTTCAATCACATTATCACCCAAACAGGGTGGTGACTTATATCTCTGAATTGACCCCCACAGTCAATGTACCATGATACTAAATCTGAACAAGACTGAAGTCCATTTTCTGGCTTTGCTCACTCCTTCAGATCATAGGAGGTGACAGTCCAGGCTGCAGGGCTCATTCCAGTGACTAGGACAGGTCCTCCCTTCCTCTGCTGATGTACATCCGGAGGGTTTCTGTCCCCCCTTCCCTCTGCTGGGTGCTGCTGGCAATTCCTCCTTCCTGTGGTGGCTGAAGTCAGCTCGGTCACTGTTACCTCAAGGCTGGAAGCCAGAGGCTACACAACATGCAATATGCACTCAAGTGCTGTTGCCCCACAACTCCTGTCCCCAATTTCTAGGAATGAGAGGTCACTGGAGCTGAACAATAGTGGGTAGGAGGAAGGGAGGAAGCAGAAGAGGGTGGCAACTGAAAGAAAATGCCATCCTGAGACGGGAAGAAAACGGAAGCCTCGAAAGCCAAGAAGGGCCTAGCCACACCTGAGAGGGGTGACTTAAGGCCACTGTCTTCCCACCCTCCACGCTTGGCTGAGCGTTCCTGGGCCTCAAACAACAGAAACTAGGTTAAGGCAAATAAGAAGCTGGAAAGAAGAGGAGGAAGGAAGGCAATTAGACTGGACAGTGGGGTTGCTCCAGAACCCCTGGTTAATGCAATTCAGTTGCTAATAGAAAGTTTGGCGATTCAGGTGTATCTTAGAAGCCAGGCCTGACAACCTCCTGCTGGAAAAAATGTATAGAGAAGTTCTACTCAGGTAAGGAGGGGTTGCTATGTTTCAGTCATTTCAACAGTCACTAGTTCCTGGGGGTGCCGGGGAGCCTGAGAAGGACATAAGGTTTGTAACATAGTTGAGACCCTCAGAAAGGCCGACCCCTACGAAGTGAGTCTGTCTGTCCCTGGCGGTGAGGCCTCCTAGAGAAATGGACTATCATGCCCAGAAAGGTGTGCCTGTGGCTGGGTGAGACTGGAGAAGACTCTCCATAGCAGAAAAGCAGGCAAGACCCCTGCCATCTTTCCCCCGTCCCCATACCTGTCTGCACAGCCCACTTTTAGCCCAGCTTCATGTGTCTATCTGTCCTCGCCACCCCTCCACAGAGACCTCATCCCAGTTTCCTCTCTGATTTGTAGGCTCGGAGCCAGAGGTGTCTGTGTTCCCACAGGGGAAGCTAGAATTCTTAGAACCATTTTTGCAGAGCAGGATACAGAAGGAACAGAGAGGTCAGGCTGCTTCAGGGCACCTTCATTCACCTTCAAGGGACCTGTGACAAGTTCCCAAGTCTCAGTTTCCTCATCTGTAAAATGGGGTTAAAACAGCTCCCACCTCACAGGCTGTTACAGGACCAGACAGGAATGTGTATAAATAGCCCTCAGCTCAGTGCCCTCAGGCTGAGCCCAACAAAGACCAGGATTCCTCTCACTGGGGTGCTTGTTTATTCAGCTCCTCACTTCCACTCTTATCTTTAAACTTTTCTCCACACAGAGGGTGATCTTGTTACAAATGCAAATTAAGTCTCTTACACTTCCAGTTGTTGGCATAAAATCCTTGAGGCTCTTTCTGCCCAGTGTCCCCTCACCCACTGGCTGCACCACAGCGCCCTCTTGCATCCAGGACCTTGCAGGTCTCTCTCCTATGCCGGGGACATCATTCCCTGACCGTCAAGTCAAGTCACACACAGCTCAAATGTAGTTCCCTCAAGAAAGCTGCTTCTAATTACCCCTTCCCTTCAGAGCAGTAATCCTCAATCCGTAATTGATTGATTTCCTGGTCAGGGGAACCATGCAGCCATCCAGCCAGGTACTTACTAAATGACTAAAAGAATATTTTTATCCCTGGGGACTGATGGGGAGGAGGGGGAAGTGTACAAATGGTTAAAACACTCGGCTGATAACTGAAAGGTTGGAGGTTCACGCCCACAAAGAGAAAGGCCTGCCTGGCATTCCAGCTTCAAAAATCAGCCCTTGAGAAATGCACACAGTTCTACTGTGACACACTTGGGAGGCTCCATGACTCAGAATTGACTCCAGGGCAACTGGTTTGACGTCGGTGAGTGATGCAAATGGTTAGTGCACGGCTAACAGAGAGGCTGGCGTGTTGAGCCTACTGAGAGCTACGTCAGAAGAAATGCCTAGTGATATATTTCAGAATAATTCTCCTGGAAACCTATAGATCTCAGTTCTGCTTTGACACAAGCTACGTCACCGTGAGTTAGAGCTGACTTAACAGCAATTGTTTATTTTGGGGGGGCCTGCTCAGGAAGCTGCTTCCCCGAGAATCAAGTAGCCCCAAGTTCCAAGAGCCTGAGGTGAAGCCTGGTCACCCAAACATAAAACGTTGCACACCGAGCCCACGGGTCCAAAGTAAACATTTTTATTCTCAGTTCTGCCTCCGCTAGCTCTAGTTTTGCAAGCAAGAATAAACGAAGTCAACACTATTCCTCTCCCTAAATGTCTTTCATGAAAAATTGTCACTTCCAAAGCTTCCTGTGTTTCCTAAAGAGAGTGATTTGAGGGCAACCTAAAGTGAGGTTTGACTACGTGGGTCACTTCCGAGCCCGCCTCTCCCTCACTGAGAGCTGACAGGCGCAGGCAGCTGTCCAGCCTGGCAGTCCGTCCTTCCAGGACTCAACAACAGAAACACCAGGACGAGAAGCAGGCACAGGATCATTCGCCCCATTTCAGACCACACCAGGGCACAGGACCCCCGGGAACGCCACAAGACAGGCCAGGGAAACCGAAATCCATCACTGCCTCCATCCAGCATGATGCCCCCAAACAGCAGATGAGTTTGGAAAAAGCCACTCCTCATGCCTCAGTGAATGCTCTGTCAGCAAAACTGTGAGCCCAAGAGTGGAAGCAAATAGTGTCCAGAGGGGCCCCTTTTTGAGGAGTTCAGAGTGCCCCCAACTCCGAGCCAGGCGGCAGCACTTGGAGGAGGGCCTTCTCCGGAGGGGAGCCCGCTCCCGTCTCCCCATCCATCCTCAGTCCCATGGACGCGAAGCTGGCCCTCACAGCACGGTCTCTCGGATGACCCCGATGAGGCTGTGTGGCCGCTCGGCCTCTGCTCGCCGGGGCCTCCTCTCGGCCCTGGGCCTCCCCGCGGGGACGAAGGTGCTGAGGTCCCCACAGCTCCGCAGGTGCAGCAGGCCAGCTGGTCTCCGCGGGGGCAGCGGGGCCCGGGCAGGACCAGGCTGTGGAGGGGCCATCACCTTGGGGAGATAAGAGGTGCAGACGTTAAGAGTCACTAACATACTTTGACCTGCTTCTTACAGCCACCCATGCATCTCAATATTTAGCTGCTTCCAGGAAAACAAAAGTGGGGGTGGGGGAGGTGTGCAGGTAATGATTTCTCAAAGTGGAGCCAGTTTGGAATTCTGAAGATCATTTTAGCACACTATCTCTTATCTAAATAAACCCAAGTTAATTTTCACTCAGGCTTGTAAATGGCATTGGAGAAGATTGCTCTTCTTTCTTTGGGTGGATTTAAACCACCAGGGAGGGGGGTTTAGCAGCTCAGCTCCTCACTGACGAGGCTACCAAAGCTGCTTCTTTTTTACTTTTCTTTTTTGGAGGTGAAAGCAAAGGCAGTTTATTTGAAGAAGTACTTTCTGGAGGGAGGAAGGGGTCACTCCCTATGGAAAGGAAAGGGTGGGGAGGACCCAGAGCTTCCACAGGGCAATCCCACTCCATGATGGTCCCAGCCAGTCTGTGCACAACTGGCTGGAGAGGTTTTCAGCCTCTGAGTGTCCACAAGTAGACTGCCCAAGCCTTTCTTCTAGAGTCCCTGTGGGGGGATTCAAACCCCCAACTTTTGGGTTAGCTGCAAATGCATTAAACTACTTGCACCTCACTGGAACTCCCTAAAAAGAGTAAGAGAAAAACAGGAGACCGTTGTTTCAGATTGCCCCCAACTTTCTATTGTTTCAACTGTAGACCGACCTGCAAGGTTTAAATGAGACACCTACTGCCGTTTGCTGCTTTATATTCAGCATCCTTTCCACTTTTTTCTCATTTCCTGGTACACTAAGCCAGTGATTCCCACTGAGGTCTGTATGTTATCAGGGGTCTTGTCAGAAACAGTCCGCACAGCAATCCTGACCCTATAAGTCTAGAGTGGGGCTTAACAAAGCAAATAAACAAAACAAAAACAAAAAAAAACACAAAAAAATCCTCACCACATCTTGATGCCACTCATAGCTGGTCTGAGATTATACTCAGGTAAGCAGCTCTGGTACCACAGTGACTGAAAGTTCTGCTGTTAACTGAGACGTGAGCAGTTTGAAACTATAAGGTGCTCTGTGGGAGAAAAATGTGGAGTCTGCTGCTGTAAAGATTACCGCCTTCAAAAGCCCAACGAAGCAGTTCTACTCTGTGCTATAGGGTCTCCCAGAGTTGATGCTTGAGGTCTCCCTCATGTGGAGCTGCGAGGTGGGTTTACACCATTCAGTAAGCAGCCAAGTTCTTAGTGCTCAACATGATACTATTAGTGCTCGGATGACAGGGTCGGGGGGGGGGTGTGCAGTTACTTTTGTAACCCCAACATCACAGAACAATCCTTGAGATGACTCTTTTCATTTTGTTTGTACCTGTGGGAAGCCAAATTTCATACTAAATATTTACAATCAATCAAATGCTATATCAGGATATGAGGGAGGCACAGACACAAATTAGAATTCACCCTGGAGCACTAAGGCAGACTTTAGGTGTTTACAGGGGTAGATGCTAAGGCAAACCTTAAGCATTTACACAATTCTTGTATTTGCTAAACCCTCCCTCCTGAGTCAAACATAAGGTTTTTCACTAGAAAGAGTTTAGCTTCATTTGCATAAAATTCTCTTGGTGATTTGCTCCCTGGAAATTTTCAATAAAGGCACAGGGAAGTGGGGTTCGGGGCTTCAGTTGTTCGAACTGCTCATCCCCCTGCTTTACCTCTCTGTTTACTTATACATTCTTGGTGTTCTGTCTTGTTTTTTGGGGTTTTTTTTTATTCTTTACCTTCAGTCAACAACATGTATCATTCTGAGCTTTCAAGGACATGAAAAAGCTGATCCCAAATAGTGATGGGACATAAAATTTTGTTATCATTCTTATTCTATTTGTCTTTAAGACCTGCTCTTCTTTAAGACATTCATAGAGACTGATTTGACATAGATCAGAATGTGTTAATATATATATATAAATGTATGTATATGTATACGTATATGTATGTATGTATGTATGTATGTATCGCCTTGGCTAGACCATGATTCTCAGCACTGTGTGGCTGTCTCTGTACTATGATCTGGTGAAACACTCCTACTCAGGTCTGAGGCTTGATCTGATGAAAGAGAAGTTTCTCCAGGATGTTACCAGGCACAAAGCTCTTTTAATCTCAGAAAAGATGAAAAGAGGAAAAAAAGAGTATAGAAGAAGAGACCTTAGTACTAGTTCTGTTTGTTCCAGACACCTAATTAATGACATTTCTACTATAGAAATACTAGATAACTAAGGCAGTGTATTAGTTAGTAAAGAAGGTTAAATAGATTCAATATTGGTAAAAATGAAAATGAACGTAAAAACTAATTTCAGTCAGTCATAGATAAATAAAAATGAAAATGCAATGCTAGGTAGGGTCAGAAACAGAATGTCTTCTTCCCTTCATCCCAACTTCCTTCTACCTGAGAAGAGGTGGTGACACCATGGAGGACTCTGAGATCAGAAAGCAAATCTCCCACCAAGCAGCATCTGCTGATTAATAAGTGCTTGTTCCTTCACCCCAGAGAAATATTTCAGCAGTAAGACTAGTATGAATTCAGTTATGTCTACAAAAAAACCCCATATGTTGAAATTGTAACCCCTATACATTTGAATTAACTCTATCTGGATAAAAAGTCAGAAATCATTTGTTATGTTAATGAAGGAATAACAGAGCAGGTGGGTCCTAAACCTAATCCTTTCTGAGCAGTGTCTCATAAAAAGAGACACTATGCACACCCATGTTTATTGTGGCTTTATTCACAATAGCAAAGAGCTAGAAACAACCTAAGTGCCCATCAACAAACAAATGGATAGAGAAGCTGTGCTATATTCACACAATGGAATACTACACTGCATTGAAAAACAAGGAACTCATGCAATATTATTCAAAATGGGTGACCCTGGAGGACATTATGCTGAGTGAAATATCCCAGTCACAAAAGGACAAAAACTGCATGGTGCCACTGTTGTAAAATGGGACTGACATCGGGGTTGGGGGGAGACTGAGGAAGATGGGATAAATTATGTATATTTCACTGAAACAGATGAGGGAGAAAACTGTTTACAAGGGATACATGATTAGGTATTTTTGTCATGACAGAAGTCCAGAACAAAGGCTGCATAGTGGAGCGGACTTGAGAGGAGGGATTATGTAACAACGAAATAATTTTTCTTTTACTTTTCAAAGAGAAGGGCATATGAGAAAGCTTAAGTCCAAGACCACCTAAGGCTACTGCCCAAGAGTGACTTTTCCTAGAACTAATGCCCTCATTTGGACTTCCAGCCTCCAGAACTATGAAACAATAAACCCTTGTTCTTCAAAGCCATCAATTCTGCAGTATTTTGTTACAGTGGCCATAAGAAACTGAGACAAAAACTTGCAGAAGGTCAAGATCATCTGCCTGGTCTCACCTCCTCAGAGCTTGGCCATCTTAGAGGAGTAGCTCTAAATATCTATTCCTATCAGCTCCCGGGGTTAGATGGGTCACTAAATGGTGCACACAGTTAATGTTGTTGGCTGTTAACCCAAACATTGGAGGTTCGAGTGCACTCAGAGTCACCTGAGAAGAAAAATGCGGCTGCCGCCTCCACCTATAAACCCTGTGAGGTGCAGTTCTTCTCTGCCCTGTGAGGTCACCAGGAGTTGGAAATGGCTTGCTAGCTGGATGGCTTAGTGGAGCTAGACAGAGCCCAGGGAGCTCTGGGGGGCCTAATGAATAAAGAGCTGTGTGCTGCCAACCCAAAGGCACATGGTTTGAATCTACCAGCTTCTCCAAAGGTGAAATATGGGCAATTTCTTCCCATGTGATTTTCAGCCTCCGAAAACCCACTGGAGGGTCAGCTATGAGTTGGCTCTGACAAAACAGCAATGACTGAATGAGTGAATTCACAGAGGGGCAGAGGATGACAACTGTCAACATGCAGGGACATCAGCGTGATGGACATGTCTCCACTATACTAACGGGAGGCCGACTCGGGACCACCGGTAGACCAAGAACGCCTGTGGTCCATGAACCTGTATTCACGTGAGTAATCAGACAGCTCCTCTCCTTCCTGGATACTCACGGGTCTAGGAGAAAATCTGGCTTCAGGCTTCTGAAACAAGAGACCAGCAAGTAGATGGGGACAGAAAGGAAACTGAGAAGCAGATGTAGTCAATCTGCCTTTAAGTTTCCCCTGGACCCAGGAGTTGGTGTGTAATTATCCTGAGAAATCAGTTCCTGAGTACCCTCAGTTCAAGAAGTGTAGTGCCCTTAGTGGGGGCAGGCCCAGTGCCAGGCTGCACCTGTGTGCTATTGAGGACTGATGCCCACAGCGCCCACTCCACACACCTGTCACAATGCAGAAAGCACCTGAAAGTGTGCACCTGAAAAGTTCTGCTTTCTTACAAAAGAAGTGAGTGGGTAGAACTGAGAGTCACTGGGTGATGCAAACAGTTAATGCTCCTGGCTGCTAAATAAAAGGTTGGCGGTTCCAATGCACCCAGAGGTGCCTCAGAAGAAAGGTCTGGCAACCTCCTTCCCCAAAAAAACCATCCCCAGAAGGCCTTGCAGGTTCCAGCTCTGCTGCAGCACACGTGAGGTCATGATGAGTCAGTGGGCTCAACAGCAATTAGTTTTCATTAACTAAAACTGTGAAGGTCCACTCATTTAGAGACATCATGCAGAGACTGCATGGTCCAGCCCTTTGCTTCAAAGATGTGACATGTGGGATCCAAATCAGTTTTAGCATATGCCTGATTCTGTCTTTCCATGGGTGGAGGGAGGGCTGCAATTTGGGAAATTGCGGTGGGGTGGTTTTTTTCTCCCCCTCAAAAACACATTGTTGTCAAGTCAGAACTGACTCCTCGCTGACCTTCTGACAGGTTTCCAAGGCTGAAAATCACAGAGGGCACTGCCCATCCTTCTCCCCAGGAGCCACGGGTGAAAATGAACCATCAGAGAGACCCCAGGATTGGGTTAGGAGTGTAACTCCCCACAGGACTATGTCACCAGGGCTCCCTGCGTTACTGTCTTACTGGTTTATTTGTTTTGTGAAATATCTCAGAGCTCTAAGAATCTTGTCAATGTTACAATCAGGGATATCATCATTTTCTAAGAGCTGAAGGGAAAATGTAGGGAAACAAATGCTAATTTGCTTTTGGGTTTTTACCTTGGGTTCTGGTTTTTTGTTTGTTTAATTTGGGATGTGCTTTTTTTTTTCTCCCTGAGTGTGCTCCCAACAGTCAACATCCTCTGACTTCATTCCCAAGGTGTCCCTCTCCTTTCCCAGGAATGCACCCACATCCAAGAATAACTGGTTTTACTCTCCTGGCTCCAGGAATGCTGCAGCGCCGTCACACCTGGAGGAAAGCTCTGACCTCCTAACCCCATTTCTCTGGAGACCAGACCAAGTATTTACTCAGGAAATGAGCAGTGGTTCCTGCTGCTATGGAAACAAGCCCTGACTGAGGGCCAGTGTTCGGGATAAAGCTACCTGCTCGAGAAAGCTGGCGCTGGTGATGGCTTCTTCCATGTGCTCCTCATCCGACTTCAGGACGGATTTGATGTTTTCTACCAGTTCGTGGATGTCTGGCGTCATGCTGCACGAGGACTGCTCCAGGAACCTGGCCACCAGCAGTTTGGTATCTATGTAGGATTTGTAATCTATTAAAGACCGTGGTCTGGTTCGCAAAGGTCTCGACCGCAGGCCCCTCCGCAGAGTCACCGCAGCCAGGTCCAGCCGGCCTTCCGTCTGTGTGGCAGCTTCACAGCTCAGCACAGGGATGGCTGCAGACAGAGGTAAAGGACAGTTACTCACTGGCTGTCCCCAAGCACAGGCCTTCCAGAAACAGCACAGGACACTACACAAAGCATGGGAAGCTTCTGACAGATGCCAACAGCCATGCACCCCTTCGCTTTTCACTTCATGGAAGGTGGTAACAAAAACAGGACTAGGACACAAGCTCATTTCCTGAAATGTCATTCCAACAGGACATGTCCCCAAACATTTCACTGCGCCATATAAAGCACAACCCCCAAGTAGAGACAGATAAGCGAGAAGAGCATCCACAAAACAAATTCTAACAGAGCCACCATGCCACAGGTGATGGCCAAGGGATGATGGATGGGGCGGGCAGAAGATGTGAGGGACCAACAAGAAGGTGCACAGAGGAAGATGAAGGTGTCACTCAGAGAGGAACGGCCTAGAGAAAGATGAGGCTCAAGACACGCAAGGAAGGCTCTGCTCATGGGACCGTACCTTGGTCCTAAACCCCTTCAAGGGCATTTCACTGACATAGGCTGTTCGGTGCTCAAGCCATGGCTGTGAGGTAGATGTAAGACTGACTATCCCACCTGGAGAAATTAGGCAGCAACATCCAATGCTGTTCTGGAAGTACAGCCTAGAAGCCCACCTCTCTGACCCACAGGCTCTAATGTCCAGGAGGTGTGGAAGGACCAGCAGGACATCGCTGCACTGTGAGGTGGGTAAGAGAACGCTGGCCTATCCTCTGTGTGTCACAGGCCACCCAGCAGTTTCACTGTACACAGCACCACGGCAACTTCAGTCTATAAGGGCCCGAGAGCCTGGAACTTAAGCACTGAGGGAGAGAGGAGCCAGGAGTGGAGAAGACAGCATTTCTTCTCCTCTGGAGAAAGATAGGCCTGAGGTGCTCAACACCAGGGTTAGGGCCGTCCTCTTGGCTGCCAGATGCATATCACAGAAGCAGAATCTTCTGGAAATGCACACCAAGTGTGAGGACAGTCAGGGCCTGCGCTCATTCACCTGACGGCAATCTAGTCCCTTCAAAAACGGAGAGTTCAAACAGGTACAATGATGTCCACACTCCTGCAGCACTCTAGAATGGAAGAAGGTTCCAGAAAGATCTCCTTAAGCTGCAGAGAACTAAGTTTTCACTGGCTGGATAGGGTCCAAGAGACCCCTGGTGAACTCAGGAATCTGTGAGGCCTGGCTGCTGGGCCTTCAGAGGAGCAGAGGTTTTAGACTCAGTCCTGGGTGGTGGGTCCCACTGTGGCAGAGACAGGAGGAGTGCTCAGTCCAGAGCTGTGGCAAGACACGCTGTCAGAGGGGCAGAGACGGCAAAGGCAGGAGCCAGGGCCAGAGAGAGGAGAGCGAGAGGATTCACAAAGATTTATTTGGAGAGAGTTTTAGGAAATTATAGGCCATCTGTTATAACACTTCTCAGAAAGAAGGCTGTATTCACAGGATTACAGAAGATTTTTCATTTTCTTCCTTTACAGTCTCTATTATCATTTTTTACACTGAAAAGATATTTGGAAGATGTTCAGGCACTCACATATTCTGAGAAAAGACTCAGTGTTAATTTTCAATTCCAATTAAAAAAAAATATCTATATATACACAGACTCAAGCCGGAGAGGGAGAGACGGGGAGTCTATGAGCGTGTGATGCTCTCTAGGCAAAATTTTTAAAATGAGGTCAGATTTAAGCCAGTCCATCTGCTCGCACACGGGGGAAAGATGGCAAATAGCAAATTATAGAAAGGCAGGTTTTAAACAGGCACCCCTTGACTTCTTCCCTCAGAGAGAATTTTTCCACAGGTTGCATTTTAAAACTGAGAACTAAGATCGTACCATTTACTTTATGTGGGTCTTAGCAGAGTAGCATATGCAAAAAACACTTCTGGTAACAAGGATTAAAAATACAGAGATACTGCTCTCTCTGTATTTCCTTTCAAGGAAGGAGGTCCGTCCCTTTGGAGATGTAATTTTCTAATAAATATATCTTTAATATTTTACCCTCAAAAATATATATCTTCAGCAATGAATGAATGGAAATCCAAAATCTCTGTAAATGTTCACTAAAATTATTAAAATAAAAAATTGAAAAAAAAGAAAAAAGTGCAACAATGAATGAATGAAAATCCAAAATCTCTGTAAATGTTCATTAAAATTAATAAAATAAAAAAAATTTTTTAAAGATATTATAAAAATAAAAAAATATATCTCTAGATAGTCATCTTAAAGGCCATGGCAGGATACATTCATATTATGCATGGAGAATAGCTGATTTTGCCAATAATCTCCAAGAACTCATAAACTCCTCCAAGACACCTCTAGGGGTTTCCCAATGAGCTCTAGTGGCTTAGTGGTTAAGGAGTTGAGATGGCAACACAAAGTCATGTGGTTTGAATCCACCAGCTACTCTCTTCCTGCATAATTTACAGCATCTGAAAAGCCACTGAAGGGTTGGCTCCAAGTCAGCTCCTACATGATGGTATACAACAACAACATCTAAGACTCTTAACCTCCTTCTATATACTTCTTAAAATTCAGGGCCAGGGGCTGCCCAGGGGGTCCCTGGGTGGTATAAATTAAGCACTTGACTGCACCTGAACCTACCCAGAGGTGCCTCAGAAGAAAGGCCCAGCAATCTGCTTCTAAAAGGTGGCACACGGCCTTGGAAACTCTGTGGAGCACATCTCTAGTCTGCAACACCAGGGGTCACCATGATGGATAACAGACCTCACAGCAACTTGGTTTGGGGCCCGCCAGAGCTACCTGCTCCCCATTGGCCCCTCAGGTGAACAAGCTCAGAGCTCCGTGCAGAGCACGTGGAGTGACATCACCTCTCTCCTCGGAATGATGGAGCACAGGATCGCTCTTTGATCTTGTTCTCAGGGGCTGGAAAGGTCTTCGCCCTCTTGCAGGATGCGCCAGACTTGAGCTGGGGGTCGACACAGACGTGCTTTCTTCTCCAGGTGTGTTAGGAATGTCCCCATCTGATTATGTAAAAAAAAAAAAAGATTGAGAGAGAAGAAACAAAGCATTCAGCCTTCAAAGGTTGGGCAGGAAATATCCATGGGACCACAGTTGCCAAGACGGGCAATGGCGTTAGCAACGCTCGCTTCAGGCTGTCGGCCTGATGCATTTTCATTTCCTAACACTGCAGGAAAATGTGTTTCCCCGGGCCATCCCTCCACACCTAAACAAACACAAAAACTCTAAAACTAAGAGGAAAATAAAGAAGCCAGGCCAACGTGTTGTTTTCTTCCTAAAAGGGGCTTAGAATCTTCTTTGATGAAGCATCTCATTGCAACAGCTCCTAAATGCTTTTCCAGATTTCTCACAATTCAGCTATTTTTTAACTGTAGTGAAAATATAAATAACAGTAGTTACAAGTTCAACCCTTTCATGTGTACAATTCAATGACATTATGTCCCCCATGTGTCCACCCCTCACCACTGTCCATCTCCAAGTACTTTTGATCACACTCACAGCTGATGTCTATTAAGCATGAGCTCCCCATTCCCAACTCCCCTTCACCCCAGGTAACCACTAAAGAAGTTGTGTCTCTGTGCGTTTGCCTATTCCAGGTATTTCACAGAAGTGAGGTCATGTAACGTGTGCCTTTTTGTGCTTGACTCCTTCCCCTCAGCATAACGTGTTCAAGGTTCATCCATGTCACCAAAAAAGGCAGGAAGATTCCATTTCTCTCTGTGGCTGAATAATAATCTCTTCCTGGGATACACCACTTGCATCTGTTGATAGTACATGGATTGTTGCCATTAGTGTGTAAGTATCTGATTGGATCCTGCTTTCACCTTGTTTGAGTATGTACCCTGGAGTAGAATTCAGATGATGATGAGTTTCCTTTAGGGGAAGCTAACAGCTACATAGGGGACTCTGGTGGCCTACAGATAAGGAACTATGTTGCCAACACAAAGACTAGTGATTCAAGTCCACTAGTTGCTCCATGAGAGAAAGAGGTATCATTTCCTCCCGTGAGATTTATAGCCTCTGAAAACCTGCTGGACGGTCAGCTGAGTCAGTTCTGGCTCAATGAAAATGATTCGTTGAGTCTGAACAGCTGCACAGGAGGAGTGTCTGCCCTGCGAGCTGCAAGCCAATGAGCAGAAGAGGTGTCTGCACAACCCAGAGCACAGGCTGGCTGTGAAACTCCCAGCAGGCCACACAAAGAGCCAGTGGCCACTAAATGAATCATTAGAACCACTCTGGAGAAGGATGAGCGGTGTGCAGGAAAATAAATCACATCCTTTGTGAATCTTGGCTGTGGTTTGGGAAAAGTTTAATTGTGTTTTGTCTTGTTTGTTGGTGTGTTTGGTTTTTTTTTTAAGTGGAAAAAAAAATCACAAACACAGTAATGAAACAGGGCCCTGGCCACAATTCCACATAGGACAGAAGGTGGGCAGCAACCCACCGTGAACAGGGCTGCAGCACAACGACCTCATCTCCCAGAGCTGAAAGTGAATCCATTATTTATTACCCTTAGCAATTTTGTCCTGGTGGACAAGTTTCTAGATCATTTAACACCTTTCCAAAGGGAGAAAGCTGTGACAACAGTCTCTTAAATTACAAGGTTAAATGTAAGCCAACTCCAGTATTTAATGTAAGCGAAAAAAAATCAGAATTTACTCCCTGTTACAGCTCCATGACCTAGGCTCTAGCTTATTAGTGGCATGGGACCATCTCAGCCTGCAACAAATGAAACTTCTTCCCCTTCAAAAGAACCTTCCTCATTTTAACAGAAGAAAGAAATTTCTGAGACTGGAGAACAAAGCGATGCCAAATGAAAGTCTCTATCTTATCTCCTCGGCTCCTGGGACTATCTGGTTATTCATACATAATACTCCCTCACCATGATAGAGTCAGAACCAACTCAGAGCTGACTCACCACTGGTTTTCCAAGACTGTAAATCACACAGGAGGAGATGGCCCATCTTTCTCCTGAGTAGCTGCTGATGGATTCAAACCAAAGAGGAGAGGCCTTGTGAATAGCAGCTTAGCTTCCAAGGGACTGTACCACCAGAGCAACCTCAGAAACACTACTAGAGATAGGTTTCTCTGCTCAATATGATCTCCCACTTGTAAGCCCTAAGAGTTGGCAGTGTTTTTTGAAAAGAAGGATATGACTTGAATCATTTGTTCCAGGAACTACTGACCTCCAACAAAATGCCATTGTTTTCCCAACTTCCAGAGAAAATTCAGCTTGAAAAGCAGGAGCAACAATTCTTGGGTTTTGGGTAGCACCCGTGAATTCGTTACCTTGAGTCACTTGTGTGCAGACAGGCTCCAATGGGCTCACAGCAGCTTCTGATCTCTCAGCCATTTGAAAACGTCCCTGCAGCACAGGAGCAAAGGGTTATTTTGCTGATATTTAATCCAACTATCATGTAGACGCCAATGGATTTTTTAAAAGCAGGATTAGATTTAGGGGAGAATGTGGAGTCATTGGGACACTTCTACATTGCCGATGTGAGAGCCAGCTGATGAGGTCACTGTGGAAAACAGTGTTGCGGTTCTTCAAAAGCTAGCCGAGTTACCGATGACCCAGCAATTTCATTCCAAGTGCAGACCCAGGAGAAAGAGAGACAGGAGCACAAATAGCAGCCTGCACACAAGGTCATTGCCATATCAGTCACAATGGCCAGGAGGAAACAGCATCAGTGTCCAGCCACAAAATGGGTCCATATATACAGTGGAATGTCTCTCAGTCATGAGGAACATAAATTCCTGATGCGTGCCTCAAAACAGAGAAACCCTGAAAACAGTATTGAGTGCAGTACGCTGTGTGGTGTGTGACTCCACTTCTATGAAACAACTAGAATAGGCAAATGCCTAGAGAATAATGTCTAGCACGGTGCCAGGGGCAGGAGGAGATCACTGTTTAAGGGAACACTAGGATTTCAATAATGGCAGGAAAACACTTTGGAAAGGGTTGTGATGATGGTTGCACACCATGATGACTGTAATCAATGTCTCCCAAATGTATGTGTAAAGATTGTTGAACTGAAAATGTTTTGTGTAGTGGTTAAATGTTATGTATCAACTTGGCAAAGCTGTGATTCTCAGTAATATGTAATTATCCTCTATGTTGTGATCTGATTTAAGGGGAGTTCTTTTAGGGCTGTGACTTGCATCTAATATATATGGATGTTCTGACAAATCAATCCCTCTCTGTCTGTCTGTCTCTCTCTCTCTCTCTTCTCTGCATCTGACTCTATCATCTGACTCATCACTATCTGACCTGCTCATGGTGGGCCTGAACCAAAACATGGGAGTCAAGAGAAGCCTCCAGCCTGCCATCTGACCCATGGACATGGACTTGTCAGCCTCCACAACCATGTGGGCCAACTCCTTGAAATAAATCTCTCTCATACACTATGTGCATATATATACATGTGTACACACACAATGTCTTCGCTGGTTTTACCCCTCTGGGAGCACCTGTTCCTAGGGTCACTTGACCAAAGTCAACTCGACAGTACCTAACACCACCAGCAGGGAACCCAACCTAAGATGTGTGTGTGTGTGTGTGTGTGTGTGTGTGTACACACCACAATAAAGCTCGTGAGAGAGAACTAGAGAACTAGGATCTCCCCACTGCTCTCTAAGACATGCCATTTTTCCTACTTGCAGTCAATGTGCAGGAAAGAAACTGTATGTAAATGATACCTGCTCCTGGTCCAGTTGGCTCACCACGGCTTCATATGGTGGCGGGGGCTCCAGAGGGCAGAACACCTCCACACCTTTGATCCGTGCTCCGTAGATATGTGGGAGTGGGATGACATCAGAACCAGCCATCCTAGGAAAGCATCATGGCATCAGGAGCTAGGTAATCAGCTTGGACACCAGTACTGCCTAGTGAGGGCTATCCACTCACCCCCCACGCCACCGCCTCCCAGTCCAGGGGAGGGAGAGGACTCTGTACTGCTATTCGATGAAATGCTCAGTTTCTTAAGTAAATGATTCCACATAAGACACAATACCATCATTCCTTTTCAATCCGTTACTCATTAAACAACCTAAAATCCAGAGAGACAGCTAGCAGACAGGAAGTAGCCAGGGACTACAGGAAGCGAGGCAAGGAGAGTGTCTGCTGGGGGCTGTAGACAGTGTATGTACTGTGAATGCAACAGATGCCACTGAAATTGGTGTTGACTGGTGTTGTGTGCATCATGTCGATTCTGAATCATGAAGACCCTGCAAGGCACCGAATGACCGCACAGCGATAACTGGGCTGTAATTTCTACAGGAGTCAATCACCACATCTTTTCTCCTTCAGAGATGCTGGTGAGTTTGAACATCTGACTCTTCCAGTTAGCTCTCAAGCATCTAACTATTGTGCCACCAATGTTCTTTTTTAAATGGTTCGTTTTGTATTATACCCTCAATTTTTAAAAAAGCACTAGAGGTCAAAGCACACACTCACTCACTGCCTACTCAGGGCTGCCCCTCCACTGGGTTTTCAAGGCTGTTAATCACACGTGAGATTGTTCATCTTCCTCGAAGGCTGTAAAATCTCATGTGAGGAGATTGCACATCTTCCTCCTGAAGTTGGTAGATTTGAACCGACAGAGAGACTCAGCTTTTAGGTTAGCAATCCAGTTCCCTACAGACTGGGCCACCAAAGCTACCCTCCTAGAAGTTCAGGAAAATCCCATTATCTTTCACAATGTTGCTGGATGCCCACCAATCTTTTATGACCTACGGTGCCCGTGTGTTATGAAGTAGAACTGCATTATAATGTTTTCTTGGCTGTGACCTTAATGGAAGATGATGTTGTTCTGTGCTTTCAAATCAGTACCAACTCGTAACTAACCCTACAGCTGGTTTTTCAGAGACAGTATAACACATGGCAGTTGACTGTCCATCCTTCTCCCACAGAGCAGCTGGTGGATTTGAACTGTGTGCCTTTGGGTTGGCAGCATAGTTTCCTACCTCTAGGAAGAAGATAACCAGGCCTTTTCTTCTATACTAGCTCTGGTGGCTAGTGTGTAAAGGGTTGTGCTGTTAGCACTCTCTGATAGATTCAAGCCTATTATAACAGCTACTGTGTTGAACCATCTTGTTATGAGTCGTCTTCTCTTTTGCTGACTCTACCTTTCCAAGCACACATCCAAAATATGTGAGATGAAGTTTCGCCATCCTTGCCTATAAGGAGAAGTGTGGTTGCACTTCCTCTTGGACAGATCTGTTTTTTCTTTGGACAGTCCATGGTATATTTCATATACTTCTCCCAGCATAATTTTATGAGATTTTAAATTGCACAACTAAAGAAATTAATGCAAAAGGAAATTCTTATTTACAATTTTATTTTCTTTTTATTAAAATTTTCATTTAAGCCATCTATTATGATGAACAGATTATCCGGGAGGCTGGGCTCTATGAGGAGAAATGTGGGGTTAAGATTGGTGGAAGATCTATCAACAATCTGCGTTATGCAGATGACACAACTCTGATTGCTGAAACTGAGGAGGACCTGAAGTGCTTGCTGCAGAGGTTCAAGGACTGCAGCTTCCAATATGGATTGAGGCTCAATGTCAAGAAGACAAAGATTCTCATCACTGGGCCAACTGGCAGCATCAGGATGGATGGTGAAGAGATTGAGATTTTTCACAGCTTTAGTTTGCTTGGCTCCACAGTCAACACTCTTGGCACCAGTAGCCAGGAAATTAAAAGGCGTATTGCCATGGGAAAGCCTGCTGTTAGGGACCTCTCCAAAGTACTGAAGAGCAACGGTGTCTCTCTGGAGACTAAGATGTGTCTGATACAGGCCATGGTCTTTGCAATCACTTGTTATGCATCAGAGAGTTGGACGACCAAGGGGGATAGAAGGAGAATTGATGCCTTTGAGCTGTGGTGCTGGAGAAGAGTATTGAGAGTACCATGGACTGCTAGGAAAACAAACAGATTCATCCTGGGAAGGGTTAAACCAGGTAGCTCCTTGGAGGCAAGGATTCTGAGGCTTCGTCTAACATACTTTGGACATGTTGTAAGGAGAGACCGATCCTTGGAGAAGGACATCATGCTTGGGAGGGTAAAGGGACAGCGCAGGAGGGGAAGGCCTTCTATCAGGTGGATTGATTCAGTGACTGGGGTAATTGGGATGGGAGTGTCAGAGACAGTGCGACTGGCACAGGACAGAGCAGAGTTTAGGGCTGTTGTACATAGGGTCACTATGAGTTGCAAGCAACTCAACGGCTAACATACTTTGGACATGTTGTAAGGAGAGACCGATCCTTGGAGAAGGACATCATGCTTGGGAGGGTAAAGGGACAGCGCAGGAGGGGAAGGCCTTCTATCAGGTGGATTGATTCAGTGACTGGGGTAATTGGGATGGGAGTGTCAGAGACAGTGCGACTGGCACAGGACAGAGCAGAGTTTAGGGCTGTTGTACATAGGGTCACTATGAGTTGCAAGCAACTCAACGGCACATAACAACAACAATTCTGATGGCTTAAATTAAAACACTGTAACATATGGGAGGCTTGATCAGAGTTTACTAAGAATGAGTGGCTTTCAAACACTGCTGTCTAATAAGATGGAAGATTAAGAGATAAACATTACTTCAAAGTAGGATACATGCAAAAACATTTTAAATTGTATCAGCATCAGCAGAGCATGGTCTAGATGGTTCTATTTAGAAAGTTCTTGTGCATTATTTTCTCTTTTTTATTATTATTTTAACGGATGTTTACAAAAAAGCTGGATTTTCATTCATTCATTCATTGTTAAAAATTTTTCTCCCTACTCACCCTAGTTCACTTTAAAAAAAAAATTCCTTCTCTGTTGCATTATTTCCTCCTTTCCCTCCTCCCCTAGTCTACTTTGCTGTGCACCTCTTACTCTGGACTACTGTAATACAGATAATGTCTAAGCATATATTCATTTTAAACATTTCTTTCCTTCATCTGTTCCAATGCAGTGTTCATTATTTATGCTCTGTCTTTTCATTTTTTCCCCCAAGTCCTATATCCTGTTTTGTCCTGTTGTGACTGAGATAGATATTTTCACTCAGCATAATGTCCTCCAGGGTCACCCACGTTGTGTAATATTTTATGATTTCCTCGTTTTTCAGTGCTGCATAATATTCCATGTGTGAATATACCACAGCTTCTCTATCCATTCATTTGTTGATGGTAGAAAGTTTTTTATGTCATAGAACCAGCAGCAATCGAGTCAACCCTGACCCTCAGCATCCCATGTGGGGCAGCGTAGACAGCGCTCCATAATGTTTTCAGGGGCTGTTTCTCTAGTCACAGACAGCCATGACTTTCTCTCAAGGACTCACCTCCAACACTCTGGTTAACAGTTAAGCCTGTTAGCCATTCGCACCACTCAAGGACTTCACAACTTGATAACAACTTCTTTTTAGAGCCCCTGTATGATGCAAACAGTTAATGTACTTGGGTACAGGAATATGTTCGAGTCTGCCCCAAGGTACCTTGGAAAAAAGGCCTGGCTATATACTTCTGAGAGGAAAGTCAGTCACTGAAGACGTTACAGCTCACAGTTCTACTCCAACACAAGTGGGGCTGCTAAGAGCCAGAGTTGAAGGCAACAGTCTTGATGACAACTGTTTTGTTGTCTTTAATCTCACAGAAATCCTCTCATCACTGGTCAGCTAGAATACAGGTGAGTGAGGAAACTGACTGAGCCTCAGAATCAACAAGGGATCCTCCAATGGGACACCAGTGCCTGAGCTCTTTCAGTTCATCACAACATCTCCAGGAAGTCTTCCCTGGGTCACGCTCATGAGCACCGAATGAAGAGAAAACCCCAGCAGACTGTGCAAAGCATTTGTTTTAGTATTGCAAACAGATCTTGAGAATTCAGACCAGGGTGGTGTTGTCCCTGATCAAAGATTGTATCTACTTTGTCCATGAGAAAGCTGATCCTTCATGGAGCACATGGTGACTCTGCAATTGGGACTTTGCAATTCTTCAAGAAAGGAGTTGACTTCACCCTTCGCTGCTAAGAAATGCCTGAGTCAAGCTGGCTCCCACTCTTTTAGGCCTCCAATTCTCTAGAAAAGGTAACACCCGAAAAAGAAGGCCAAGTCATATTCTCATAGTTGAAGCCTTTCCTGGTAAATTCCTGGCTCAAGTCAATCCTCAAAAATGCAGGCCTCCTTGGGATAGGGGGTTGGGGTGCACAACCCTCTCCTGTGCTTACACATCGATTCACCAAGCAGACAGACTGTGTTTGGACCGACGCCTTCTGTGCAATCAGGCATCTGTTTGTGACGTAAATTGAGAAGCCCTTTCTCAAGGAGAGAGCAGTGCACAAAGTGGTAGTATTTATAGAAGTTAAATAAATAGACCTCCTCAGAGAGGTCACAGACTTTACAGGAAGTGGGGAGCCACTATTGTGTGGAGATGCTTAACTTGGCTGTGGAAAAACTAAAGAATGCACTCAATAGTCTTGCCTCCCGCTTATAACAGGAAAGTGGCCCACTGATCTGATTTCTATTGCATCTCTAGAAAAGCCAGTCACATTAAAATTATCTTTCTAAATATGACACAGCTCTGATGTGTAAAAGGGAGAGGGGGAGCTCTGTGGCCTAGTGCATAGGGAGTCACGCTGCTGACCCAAAGGCCAGTCCTCTCCAGCAGTTCTAACCACCAGCAACTCCAAGTGACAAAGACGGGCACTCTCTTCCCATGTGGTTCACAGCCTCCGAAATCCACTAGAGTCAACTATGAGATGATTCAACTCGATAGCCAGGAGATAATGTGAGCAAAAAATACGTAAATCTAACCATTTTCAAAAGAAAAGTGGACTACACTTTGAGGTGGGTGGAATGACAGAAAATGAGGGTGTCCGTCTGTTGACAAGAAATCCGATTTTGGGCCTTCAGTATGTGTCTTCGGCCCACAAGGGTTCTACTTCACACACATAGACCTAGGCGCCCCCCACCCCCCAAAAAAGTTCTGAATGGTGCAGCCCTCAGTGGACGTTTGTATGCCATCATCCAACTTGGATTTGACCTGGAGCTGTCCCAGGGCTCAGAGGGACAAATCCAAGGTATCCTGGTCTCCTAAGACTGGAAATGCCCACCATGGCAGGCACTGCAAGAGACACAGAGAAGAGCTGGAAGGAGAAGAGAAAGGAAGGTCACAGAGAACAGGGCAGCTGCAGGCAGCAAACCATATTCGTCACTTTCCCTTTCTGTCGCTTCAGGAAACTCAATCTGCCTGTTGCCTGCTCTTAGGTCAGCTCAGCACCCGGCCCCCACCTTAGGGAGACGAGCTGCTTGTGACGGGCATCCCTCTTCCTTACCACAAAGCAGGAGTCATTGTTACTGTCCTCCAGTGTACCCTCTACCGAAAGCCAGAGGCTGATCTAAAGCCCACGACATGCTAGGAAATGGGCTTTGTTGCTATGACTTTTTGGCTTTTGTAACACTTGGTTCATTTCCTGAAAGACTAGGGAAAGCCATTCTGGCCCTGGCAGTTTCAAAATCCCAGCACATCCCTCTCCTAACAGCAGAGAAGCTGAGCTTTCCTGCTGGTCTGTGCCAGACCATCTGTTCCCTAGAGAAAGCACAAGTCTGCAGGTGGACAGGAGAGGGTGTAAGGAGGGCTCAGCTATGATTCTCATGGGCTGAAGAAATGAACATTAACAGAGCCTACATGGTCAGAGACCACTCCAGAGAACTGAAGAGCAATGATGTCAGTCTGGAGACTAAGGTGTGCCTGACCGGCGCCATAGTCTTTGCAATTACTTGCTATGCGTCAGAAAGCTGGACAATGACTAGGAAAGAAAGAAGGAGAATTGATGCCTTTGAGCTGTGATGCTGGAGAAGAGTACTGAATAGACTGCTAGGAGAAAAAACAGGTTTGTCATAGAGAGGGTGAAGCCTGGCTGCTTCTTAGTGGCAAGGATTCTGAGGCTTTGTCTGACATACTTTGGACATGTTGCAAGAAGTGATCAGTCCTTGGAAAGGGACATCATGCTTGGGAGGGTGGAGGGACAGCCAAAAGAGGAATACCCTCTATGTGATGTATTGATTCAGTGACTGTGTTAATGGGAGTGGGTGTGTTAGAGACAATAAGGTTGGCATAGGATAGAGCAGGTTTCAGGGCTGTTGTATATAGGGTTGCTATGAATCACAAGTGACTCAACAGCATATACCACTACCACCACAACAGACGGTAGTACCCTCATCCTAAACATGTAGCACCCTAGAGACTTTGCCTTGAGCATGAGAAACTGGCTTCTCTAAATCCCCAAACTCAGCACCAACTTTGCTTGTTATTAATGTTATGTACCATTGACTCAACTTGACTCACAGTGACCCAGTGAATGGTAGGTCAGAACCTTGTACCAACCTCACCATCTCAATATGCAGCAGCCTATGTTTACACTGTGTCGATCCATCTTGTTGATGATCGTCCTCTCTTTCCCTGACCCTCTATGTGTCCCAGCATGATGACTTTGTCCAAGGAGTGGGCCCTCCTGACAACATGCTCAAAGAATGGGAGATGAAGTGTTACCATTCTTGCCTCTAAGGAACACTGTAGTTACAAATCCTCCAACACAGACATGTTTGCTCTTTTGGTGGTCCACAAATATTCAGTACTCTTTGCTAACATCACAATTCAAGTCTTCCTTATTCGTTGTTAATACTACAGGTATTCAAGACAGAAATTTCCAGTCTTCTAAAAATCAAGATAAAGGTACTAGACTTTCTGTGTAAATCAGAGTTTGTCTTTTAGAAGCTCAGAGCTAGGTTTGTTGTTGTTGTTGTTCTGTGCCATCATTTAGTTCTTTTGCTTCAAATATCACTTCTTCCAGCAAGCCCTCCCTGACTGGCTGGCCCCCTTCAGACTCCACAGCTCCCTCACTGGTCTGGACTAGGTGGTCCACCTTTGGGCCCACATCTGTCTGTTGAGTGTCAAGTCAATGGGATTCTTCCAACATCCATTTTTTCATGATCTAGTGAGCTCCTTGATGGGGTGGTAGCGGGATAGAAGGTAGGGATGGGGTAGCAGGTAGCTCTGATTAATTCTAAATTTCAGTAATCCCACACAGTGGCTGGTATGGAGCAGAGGCTTGATTGAATGTTTGCATTCATATATGAATACATAAAATCATCCTTCAGGAAGGTACACAAAGGTGGCTAACAACCAGACTAACTTATTACACAAAGTGCGCACGGCATTTCACTCCACCAATAGTAATGATCCAGACTTAAGAAACAAGCATCAGACTCAGAACTAGAATGAAAAAAGGAAAATAAGCTTAGCATTTATTTTTTTTCCCAGACAGGGGAAATGCAATTAATCATTAATCATTAATCTTTATTTAATGGATGATAAGAATTTCCCATTTGTCATGACCTGCTAAGGGTGTAACAATGATGCTTTGATCTGACCCCAAGTGAGAATTTGCAAAGGAGCCTATTGGTGGGCTGGTTAAGTGTTAGGCTGGTCTGTTTGTTAGCCACCAAAAGGTAGGGTGTCTGAAGCCACCAGCCATTCTTCGGGAGATTGGGAGTCTGCTTCTGTGAAGATTTAACACCTGGAGAACCTGCAGGGAGGCACTTCCATCCTACAGGGTAACTCCATCCCACAGGGTCATTCCATCCCATCCGGTCACTCCACCCCACAGTGTCGTTCCATCCCATAGGGTCACTCCACCCCACAGGGTCACTCCATCCCACAGTGTCATTCCATCCCATGGGGTCGTTCCATCCCACGGGGTCGTTCCATCCCACAGGGTCACTATGACTCAGAATAATTCTGAGACAATGCATGTGGGTTAGGGTGGGGAAGGTTTCCAGGTCAGTACTCAATCATGTCAGGTTACAGCCATTATCCCAGTGTCAGTTTTCCCCTAAGAAAAGCAAATTGAAACAGAAAGCATCTCTTTAAGTCAAGGTATAAGTTTTCTTTGATTTCATGCAGTTTATCAGACAGAGAAAGAGCGTGCCAGAATAGAAAATGGTGAAAAACAAAAGCCTGTCCAGATTCCAGAGCGAAGCCAGTGACACTTCTAGAGACCCTTGGTTCACACAAGAAGCATTCCCACCCGAGGCCTGTGGGGGTGTCGAGTGCAGTACCTGCGGTTCATCCGGGGTGTACATGAGTAAAAGGTAGCAAAGTAGGAAGGCGGAGGCACAGGAGCCACAAAGTCGTCGGGGTCAGGGATCTGGCCATGTTCTTCCACTTCCTCAGCCGAGATCTGGGATTCGTCCTAAAGAAGCAGCACCCGTTAGTCACCAGCCTTCACGACGGGCTTACACAAGGTCCACAGCTGGCTCAGCCCCAACCCCATCACTCTGGGGGACTTACAATGCAGGATCTTCTGGTAGCAAATATCTGGAGGTAGCGGAGGGCGGCTGCCACCAAGCAGACGGTGGTGGTCAGGGCGTTCAAGGCACACAGGGCGAAGAGGACTTTCTGGAAGGAGACAACAGAGACATCACCCACGTGCTCAGGGCTTCAGCATAACCACAAGGTGACACCAGCTGTTTTCAAACAGTATTGTCCTAAGAAGACAAACTGCATGACACATCTGCATCTAAAAGACTCCTGTGGTATTCGCTCACAGCACATTCAGAAATAAGTGCTGGCTCCTATGACCCTCATAATTAATTTTAAGGAAGCTCTGGTGGCTTGGTGTTAGGGCATCATGTTGCCAACTCAAAGGTGGTTCAAATCTACCAAATGCTCCTTAGAAGAAAAGTGGGCAATTTCCTGCTGTGCAATTTGCAGTCTCTGATCTGCTGGAGGGTCAGCTATAAGCCAGTTCTGACACAACAGGACATAACAACAATTTTAAAATATTTTAGAAGTTTCCTATTTAGGATTATATTTCAAACCTCCCCAAAATTATGTTTGAATCCTAATCTCCAGTAGGATGTGATCCTATCCAGAAATCAGGTTTTCTCTCTTCTGTTAATTACATCAAATCCATGTAGGGTGGGTTCTAAACCTAATCACTTCTTAGTTATAAAAAGAGCAAATTATACATAGGTCAGGGAAGACAGCTGCCATGTAAGCCTCCTCAGCTAAGGTCCTAAAGAATGTCCAGGCCGCCCCCAGGGAAGGAATCAACACAGCCAGAAATCTGATCTGGATTTTCAGCCTCCCATATACAGAGAAAATACATTTGTTCTTCACAGCCACTGACCTGTGCCTTCCTGTTAAGGCAGCGCTAGGTAAACAAGCCCGTCTCAGCAGGACCTGGCATTGTGGTCTCTCTTTCAGTAAGCTTCAGAATACTGTCTGACTTCCAAGACAGTACAGGATGTCACTTCTGCAGATGGTGTCCACAGTGACAGCAAGGGTGGCTTCCCCTCCCCCAGCTCCCTTGCAGGACAGCATGCTGCTTAATTTGTGGCTACTGGTGCTATTTCAGGAGCAATTGGCAGTGGTGCCCAAAACACTCAACGAGGACGAGGCAGTGGGCGGGCCAGCCAGAGAGAAAACAGGGTTTCTCTGCTGTAAACACGCATCTGAAAATAGCAGCAGAGGCAATTCCAGAGGCTTCTCTTGCTACAGCCCTGGTTCCTCGGTGGGGCTTTCCCCGAACTAACTCCTGGCTCAGAAAGTTTGGGGGTGACTCAGCTACCAAAAATCCAGAGACCAATAAAGGAGGCCATTTTTCACATCCTACATAACTCAGAGAATTGACAGCATTGGACAATTCTTTTCTTAGAGATTCCTCTTCCCTACAAAAACAAACCTAAATCAAAGATCTAAAGAAAGCCACCATGGTTCATAGGCCAACAGCTAAAAGCTCAGCATTCACCAACTGATTGTGCCATTTGGCTGCAGGCAGGAAGTAATTCTTATCCAGTTCCCCAATTCAGGCTAATTTTCCATTTTCCCCAGCTGGGCTCATTTGCCTTTTGGTTTGGTTTTTTTTAATCTCTTCTGCTTTTTATACTTGTTGTCTATTCAACAAGTGATAAAGTGTTTGACCTTCTCTATTTCCTGGAAAATAACTCTCCTTAATGTATTAATTGCAGAAAACTAGCATTCAGCAGCTGCTAGGACTGGCTTAAACCAACAATTGTGTATCAAAACAATGTTAAACGAGCACGTGATTAGAGGTTTTGCTAAAAGTTACATCATATCATATATGTACATGATGACATATTTAACATATACTATAATGAATGGGTTTTCTATTGTTTATAGGGTTTTAAGAGACCTACTATTTCAGAAATGGATAGCTAATCTTGCTTGCTAGTTTATCTTAATCTGGGAGCTCTACTAGCACTTGTCCATCATGAGTGATCCCTTTGGCATTTGACATACCAGTGGCACAGCTTTCAGCATCACAGCAACCCACAAGTTACCTCAGTACAGCAAACTTACAGACAAGTGCTGTACTAATTGGAACAATGCTAAACAAGCAAGAATACAGCAGTCAATTCAGAACTTAAGAAGCCCACAGTAATCTACAGGTCTTTCTCAATTCTGCCTTTGGGTCACCAAAGGTTGCTCATACTTGTTTTCTGCAGCTTAACTGTTTGAAGAAGGCAATAGAGTAAGAATATTTCTAATACTGTTTGTTGCCTTCTTCAAGGTTCTACAGTGTATTTGTTGTGAGGGTTGGGATCCATACAAGGTACCTTAAGTAGAAGGTGAACGGCACTACACGGCTGAACAGGGAAGAGTTTCAAGGCATTTTCTTTGTCTGTACATTTGGCTGGCTGGAATTCTTCACAACAGAAGCAAATCTTGCCTTCACCTAAATCCACCTTAAGGAGAAAAAAGGAAGAACCATATTGTGATTATTAAGGGAAAATGTCCAGACTTGAACCGTAAAGCCCTAGAAATGCAGAATGAGTATGTGAGGGTTCCAAGGCAGATGTTCAGGTTCTGCTGTATCAGCCAGTACAGGTTAAATAATACTGTGGTGGGTAACAGGCAACCACAAACTCAATGGTCAACAAGAAACAGGCCATGTTGCATGCCTACTGCAGGCCAGCAGGTGCTCGGCTCATCATATTACCTGAGATACCCAGGCTGATGGAGCATCCATCTACATACCATCTTGAAGATTGCCAGAGACGGAGAGCATGCATGAATTGCACAATGGCATTTATCATGCAGTTTCCAGATAAAATATAGGATATCTAATTAAATCTGAATTCAGATAAATAAATAACAGTATATACATAATATATATATATAGGTATAAATGTGTGTCACAATATTCTATGTGATGTTCCTACTGAAACTTTATCAGTATTTATTTGCAATTCAAACTTAATGAGGGGTCTTGGATTTCTATTTGCTAAATCTGGCAAGAATTATGTAAAGTTTCCTCTAGCAAAGTAGTACATTTGGTTGTTATAGCTTATCACATGCCCTCACCTGACTTGAGGAGAGCAGAGCAGTTCAACCCTATCATATGCTCATGAGAAGCACAGGGCCTACTCCTACTCCTTAGGGGATTAAAGAGACTTCTTTGTTCACATGGCCAGTGTGGTCACAGATTCTAGAAGTTTCTTTTCTTCTTTTATTTAAAAGTATGATAGCAGCTTCATACACCTTTAGTGAGTTGCTTTGAAAATGGTCACTTTCCCAAATATTACATGATGCCACTGTTGTAGAATGGGACTGTCCTTGGGGTTGGGGAGAGACTGAGTAAGATGGGTTCAATAATGTATACTGCACTGA